ATAACACAACGCTTACACCACAGCTTTGACCGGGGGTCCTGTACGTCCACATGGGTGCCGATACGGAGCTTGGACAACGGGCGAGCAGAGACATCGAATTGAGCTGGAGCAGACGGAGGAGCTGCATCTGTGTCGGCGGCGAGGGTCTGCCATTCGGACGAGAAGCTACGGTGATGCGCAAGCACAAATGACGACAGAGGTCGACCATACAGCTTTTGTGCGGGGCTGATGCCATCAGATCTATGAGTGTTACGCCATTCTAACAGCCCGCTTTGGAATGCGTCCACATCAAGGCGGCCATTGGTGGTCGTCTTGTGAACAAGTGTCTGCGTGACCATTGCTCCGAGGGAAGTGCGGTGTAGACATGACATGGGAAATCTGCCAGCGGCGACAGAACTCGGCATATTGGAGGGAGGCAAACTGGGGGCCACCATCAGTGCACAGAATAGACGGCACACCAACATCTGGGAACCAACGGCGCAAATGGACGATCACATCATGTGAGGACGTCGTGGTACCGGTCGGTGCGAGGCATGGCCATCCGGATAAGCGATCTACATAGACGAGAAATTCACGGCCTTGGCAAGTAAATAGATCTGCGCTGGTGTGCGCAAATGGCAGAGTCGGGTGACGATCGTTGAGCAGCGGTTCCCTCGGGAGCGATGCTTGGCGTTCCCGACACGTAGGGCATGCGCGGATCAGTGTCTCCAGATCTTGGCTCAACTTGGGCCAATACACCACCTGACGTGCTCTAGCCTTGGTACGTACAATACCCTGGTGGGAGGCGTTGAGATCTAGGAGAACATGTTGACGGAGGGACATGGGCACAACGATCCGTTGACCTTTCAAGACAATACCGTTGGCCACTGATAGGTGCTCTCGTCCGTTCCAGAATGAACGCAGAGCATCAGGCAAATCACGCTGATCATTGGGGAGTCCATCTTGGACGTGCTGGAGCAGTAGCTGATAGTCAGAGTCAGCGGCAGCAGCATCATGGACGGCTTGGAACCGGAGGTCAGTGATCAGCCCATCTTCATCACGACGGAGACAGGCACGGATGCCGAGGTTAGCCAAGTAGTGGTAGTAGTATTTATTATTTGACTAGGGGAGTCCCAACAGGCATGGCCTTGTTACAGGGAACCCTAGGTGAATCTTTGTGAGGTGAGCAAAAGTACCAGCAGATTGTGCCTGACGACAGTTTGAAGGAAGAGTGTTCCACCGACCTGCAGCCAGAAAGGAAACTGAGCGCAGTCCATACCCAATATGTACAGTAGGTAATACTAAGGCAGCTGTATCCTGGCCACGAGTACGAGCATTTGTGTGCGGGCCAACTGAACGCAGGAGAAACAGTGACTGAAGGAGGGGGCTAGCAATTGATGACAAGCAGCGATAGACCAAAACGTATAGTTTCAAATTAACTCTTTGCTCAAACGAATACAGATGACACCGTTGTAAAACTAATGCAGTTGGGGTCATTCTATCTAAACCAAATGCCTTCTTCATCGCAATGTGGCTGACCGTTACAAGCCTGTTATATAGGGTAGTTTTCAAACAGTGCACATACGCATTACTTGCATATTCTAGAGTAGACTGTATAATTGACAAGAAGAAAGTTCTCCGAGCTGTAGCTGATAAATTGCGACGGCCATGAGCAAAAAAGGCTAGTTTAGCGAAGACCACTGAACACACCTTTTCTACTTGTGGGCGGAACGTTAGATGCTCATCGATTAGTATACCGAGGTATTTCACAGTAGAGACAGGGGAAATGACAATACCTTTGCAGGTCAGGTACATGGCTGGGCTCAGTGCAGGCAGGGCAGGACGCCGTATCAACATGAACTGTGTTTTAGTGGGGTTGAGCAGAAGGTCTTTCTCTTCAAGCCAATGCGGGGGCTTCACCATACTGGTCCGTTGGGTAAGGGAGGTCAACTGGGTTCCGAGACAATGCATCGGCAAAGGCGTTGTCAGCACCTTTCCGCCACTCAGCACAGAGTTGGAACGACTGGAGCTTGAGCATCATTCTGAGCAAACGTGGGTTCTCAATTTGATCAAGCGAGTATGCATTGATAATGGGCACCAATGAGCGGTGATCAGTGATGACACGAAACTGGGTGCCGGACAAGAACAGCTTGCACTTCTTGACAGCCCAGACGATGGCCAGGAGTTCGAGCTCGATCACTGCGTAGCGGGACTCTGTGTCACTGAGATACCGACTGCCACACTGGATGATGCGCCATCCGGTGTCTTGTTTCTGCAACAAGACGAAGCCTAGACCTTTCAGTTTGGATGCGTTCGTTTCCAGGCGGAGTTCGGATCCTACTTGGAAATAAGACAGGGTCGCCAAGGATACCAGTTCATCCTTGATGGCGTTAAAAGGAGCAGTGTGGTCGTGATGTCATAGGAACTCAGTAGAAGGCTTCAGCAGACCGCGTTATGGGGCACTCAGCTCAGCCAAACACGGGGTGAACTCTGCACACTGATTCATCAGGCCCAAGAACGAGCGGAGGTCGGTCCAGTTACTGGGCTTGGAGAAGTCACGAATGGCTGACGTCTTCGCTTCATCGACAGTCCAGCCGTCGGCGTTCAAGCAATACCCGCAGAACTCAATCTGGGTAGCAGCAAATACGAACTTCTTCGCACTGAGTGTGTTGGCATTGTCCCGTGCACATGTCAGTACTCTGCGGACGCGTGCGACGTGGTCACTTAGGTCATCGTCATACACAAGGCAGTCGTCCACGACTTTCTTGAAGTTCGTGAAGCCGTCGAATGCTGCGCGCAGATTCACATAACGGGACTTGCCAATATCCATGACGTGCATCGAGCTTCGTGAAGTAACGACCGCTGATGCTGGAAACGACGTCTCGTGGTGGTTGCATAGGATGAGCAGGGCGTTGGATCTGGTCATTCAACCTCTTGAAGTCGACAGTCAATAGCTTCTCAGACGTGCCCTTTTTGTCGACAATCACAATCGGGTGACACCATTCGCTCGATGTGGAAACTGGTTCGATAATGTCATCCTTCACCATCCCGTCCAGCTGGTCCTTGATCTGGTCACGGAAGGCGAAGGGGACGAGCCGCGCATGATGCGTGCAAGCTGGATTAGCATCGTATTGGAGCTCAATATCCATTGCTGAGCCAGACATGGGTTTCAAACGGCCATCATCGAACACGTTGGCGATTTTTTGGAGCAGTTCAGTACGGATCTCGTCAGCAGTACGGTCTTGAGCTGGTTGAATTTCCACACGGGAAATGGAAGGCCAGTTGGCTGGAAGCAGACCAAGCGCAAGCAAAGAAGTCCGAGACAACAGAGCATCAGACAGATCAGGGTAGACATGGATCATCGTGTCGTACGACTTAGCTCCAATGGCGAGAGAGGAGTGAATCTGGCCGGCAGACTCAAGACGTTGACCATTCACACCAGTCACTACATCATAATCGGTGGCGAGATTTTCGAGGAATCCACCAAGCAATTCCAAATGCTGTAAACCGATGGCATCCACGTCACTACCGGTGTAGGGAATCCAGTCGATCGGTGCACCAGTGGTCTCCGTATTCAGGGTGGCATGGACAGTCACGGTCCCTTGGTTGCCTGACGATGCTTGCTGCAACTTCAGTTAGCCGGTTTTGCCATTACGGTGCGCAGACTGCGATTTCTTGGGGCACATCTTTTCAAAATGGCCTGACGCTTTGCAGCCATTACACGCCTTGCCTGCATCCGGACAGGAATACTTTGTGTGAGCGCTGCGACCACAGTTCACACACTTCTTGGGTGGCTGGGCTATTGCGGATCTGTCGCTGAACTGAGACTTCTGCTTCTGGTAAGAAGACTTTTCGCGACGGCAGCCTTAAAGGATCCGGTAGTCGGCATTCCATCATTGGTCTGCTTGGCGGCTTCCTCCGCACGACAAATCTTGGCCGCGCTGGAAAGGGTCAAGTTCTGCTCAGAAAACAGCTCGTGCCGAGTGTCATCGCCCGGGACACCGACAACGATCCGGTCACGAAGGAGCTCTTCGTTAGCTGTAACTAGGATCTTGGGGCAGTCAGTACACATACGCCCAGAGCACGTGCGACAAACACATAGTTCCA